CCCGGCCCGGCCCGGCCCGGCCCCGGCCCCCGGCACACCCGCCTCCTCCCCACCCGGGCTCTGAGCCAGGCCGCCCGTCCGGGCGCTCCCGCGACCCTGCGGGCTGAGGAAGCGCCTTCCCGGGTGACAAGGAGGCGCACGGCGGGCACACTCGCAGGGAGGTGTCAGACGAGGGGCTGGCTCTGTTCCTGCCCTGCCCGGCCCTAAGCTCCTCGGGGCAGGGCTCGTGCACCTCCACATCTTTGTTCAGCACCCAGCAAGACGGGTGTCAGTCCTGCCTGGCTCTCGGGGCATCACCAGCCTGTGCTGCTTGTCCCACCCAGACTTTACCGTCTCCCGGGGCACACGGCCCAATTCCCTCCCTGTGCCAGGGTGGCACTAGCGCAGCCGGAGAGGTCTGCCCGAACCCCTGCAGCATCGGAGCTGGTACCCGCTCGCTACGTTATAAGTGCTCGGACAGACCCGGCTTACTGAGCCGGGCTCTGGGAAACCGTAACCGACCCGCGGCGTAAAGCTCGGCCCATGGCATTGCACGGCCCCTTGTCTGAGTACACCGTGCGCTCGGTCGCCGGTGATGGGCTAGAGATGCGTGCGCTGGTCCCCGCGTGGGAACCTGCTACGCAGAGAGCACCCCAGGGTCTCCAGTTGCTGCTTCTTTCCAGCCGCCCATCCCGTCCCCCGCCCAGGGGCTCTCCTGTGGGGGGGCAGCGGGCTCCGGCCCTTCGCAGACGGGCGAGGGGCACGTTTAGCTTTCTGAACCAATGCTCGCCCTCCCAGCGCACCACTGCAGACCAGGAGAGCTGGCAGGGCTTCACGGCCGTGAATGAAGCATCACGCTGCCCTGGGGAGACCAGCCGGTATCGTTCTCCCTCCGCTACAGCGCTCCCGCTCATGAAGCCGTTAATCCCCAGCTGGGAAGTACCTTCCTCACTTCCAGATGGAGAAACGGAGAGGCAGAGAGAGCGATGTGCAGCAAGTCTGCGCGGGAGCTGGACTAGAAACCAAACCCCTAGCTTGGAGTGAGAGCCCACACCCCCTCCAGCCAGCGCCATTTATCTGGGAGCGGCCTGGAGGGATTTTACCAGCAGATAGATAACAAGCAGTAGCTGGAAAAGGCTCCATTCCCTCCTCGTCCTTTAGCGGCCAAATGTAACCCAACAAATCGTCCCCTCCTTGCGCCCCCAGCCAGTCTTGCTCCCACGCAGCGCCAGGTGCACCCGGCTCCTCTGAACTCTCCTGACTGAGAGGCGATTCCCCCTTGCCTGCTCCCCACTGGATACCGCCACATGTGGGCAGGGGAGAATAACGCTTGCAGGCCTGCACCCCTCCTCGGACACGTGCATCTCAGAGTGCAGAGCCTCCCCGCTGCTCAGGTACAGAGCCCCGCTGCTTCACAGGCCCTCTGGGCCCCTTCTGTGCCCAGCTCCGAGAGCCGCGCGGCTCCAGGATGCTGCGTACGGCACGGAAACGCCGCACAGGGGCCTGCAAGTAGCAGTTCCCCAAAGACCTGGAGAGATGCAGCATTAGGCGCTGCGGACCACCCCTCAGCAGAGCCGGGCCTCTCCTGTGAGGAATTGTGCAGGCGCCAGCTGGCACGTCTGGGCACACGCGTTCACACGCATGCCTCTCAAACCTGTCAGTGCAAAGGGCAAGCAGGTGCTCTGTCTGCTTCAACCTCACGGCGCGGGGGACAGCGTGTTAGGCACCTCGGTGGCTTTCCAGGGGCTCGAGCAGGGTGATAGGATCACGCTTAGGTGCTTCGGAGGGGGAGAAGGATCTGGACCTGCATCCCCAAGCAACTGAATGCAGCCTGCGTGCACGCCGGCCCAGCTCCCTGGGGCATCAGCGGATATCTCGGCTGCTTCCCCAAGAAACGAGCTTAGTCCCTGGCGGCTAGGGAGGCACGAACACCCAGCAATTAGTTCTGATCAAGCCTCGGGGTCCTGCTGGGTGGCTCTGTAGGTGGGCTGGAGATCGTAAAGGAGCTGGGCTCCCAGGGGGTTGCAGGTACCTGGGAATACTCTCCCCAGCAGCCGTGCTCTGCACTTCGCTTGCAGCCGGAGTGGGAGGCAGGAGGGCGTTTGCACCATGTGCTGACTTCCCCGTCGTCACTGGGGGAATGCGCTTTTCTTTCCCCAGTCAATGCTTTTTGCACATGAAGCCTTTTCCGGGCAGAGCAGTGGCTGGGAAGAAAGCATCTGAATGCCTTTGCATTGAAAGTCTCATAAATCACCCTTCAGATGCTTGCACTCAGATGTCGGCAGGGCCCTGGGCCAGCGGAAAATTCATCTGCCCAAGCCCTGGGCTCCCTCCTTCCCTCCGCTCCAGGCTCCTGGAAGGGAGTCATCTGGGAGCTGGCTCTGCTAATGCTAAGGTGCGTCTCCCTCCACCCCCGCCTCTGCTTGCCCAAGAGCAGCCTCCATGTTGCGTCCCTGCTCTCACCAGCCCTCCCGTTTCAGAGGGTGCAGTGGCGACGCACAAAGGCAGAGAGAGCACAGCGGTGGGACGGCACCCCTCTTTCTGCTGGGATCTCTGCAACAGCTCAAGAACCAAAGAGCCCCTGGATATCCAGGCTGGGGCTCCAAGTGAAGGCTGCTTGCAAGATGCAGAGAGAGATGCCATCGGGAAAGTTTAGGTCTCCTCCTTCCTTGGCTTCCCTAATCCCTTATCCTCCGAGACACTGCCTCAAAACAGAGACTAGGCTAGACAGCCATCTCAGACCCCCCCCCCCC